CATCTGGCTGGATGATGTGAACTGCACAGGGGTGGAAGCTGCTCTCTCTGAGTGCCCGGCGAGGCCGTGGGGGGACCACAATTGTTACCACGGGGAGGATGCCAGTGCAGTTTGTTCAGGTGATCCTTCTGTTCTCCCACTTTTGCCAGCCGTGTGTTAGGGTGTCCTCACAGTCAGTGTGGGCACAACCGTGGACAGGATCAAGGGCTTCCTATGGAGCCCTCTCCTACTGAGTTGGTGCTAACCTAACAGTCCTGCGGGTGGCCTGGGGTCCTTACACCATGGAAGAGGGCTTCAGTCTGGGAGGTTCTCTCCTTTCTGCTCACTGGGGTGCGCTGTGGCCATTTTTCTTCAGCTCAGACTTGAGGGTAAGACTGCCACTGTGCTTCTTGCTTGGACAGTGGCATGTTCTATGTGGAGAAAGCTATGGAGGAGAGGCTGCTGTGTGCAGGGCAGGGTGGGGATTTTCAGGGAAGAGGGGGGACACAGACCAATGCACAGCCTGAGTGAGCATGCCCCATCTGGATGTGTCTTCAGACTCCGGGATCACCGTCTCCACTTCAGTCCGCCTGGTGGGCGGCCCCCACCGCTGCTCTGGGAGAGTTGAGGTGCTTCACAACGACGTCTGGGGGACCGTCTGTGACGACCAGTGGGATTTACGGGAGGCGAAGGTTGTGTGCAGGCAGCTGGGCTGTGGGACAGCGCTGTCGGCCCTTCCAGAGTCAAAATATGGGGAAGGGAAGGGCCAGATCTGGCTAAGCGATGTGAACTGCACAGGGACAGAAGCGTCCCTCACTGAATGCGAGGCGAAGCCATGGGGAGACAACATCTGCAACCACGTGGAAGATGCCAGCGTGGAGTGCTCAGGTAACCCTCTTTCCATCCCCCATCCTGCACGTTCTGGGCAGCAGGATGGGCAGACCCCCCTGCCCCCTGCCTGAATCGGGGCTGGTCCTGAGCCCCCATGCAGCTCTGTGGATGTCTGCTGGTGGGTACAAGAGAGGGATGCAGCCGATTAACTCATCCCACCACTGGGTGCAGTGCTTGCCCAATGACCCAGGGAGGACACATGGATGTAGCTGAACCAGCGGCAGCATTAAATCCTCTCCTACCTGAGACTGCTCTGGTCCCTTGTCCCACCTCTGGGCTGCAGGGTGATTAGCATCAGCAGACTCCTTGAAGCAGACACACGGTAGCACCAGCAGCCATCCATGAAGACCAGGAAAGCTTCCTCCTGCCCTTTTCCCACAGCCCCCACACTGGCTTTTCTGTCTTCCTTCCAGCTCCTGAGAAGCCCAGCCCTTGCCATATCTCCAGTGTGCTCAGACACCTGAGCCTCTGCTGAGCAGGCAAGCTTTCCACAGGTGGTGGGGTGTGTAGGATGCTCCATTAACATTTATTTTCTGGGCATCGGTGCAGAGGTGGACATTCCTGAGGAGGGGCCGGTACGGCTCGTGGATGGCCCAAACAAGTGTGCTGGGAGAGTCGAGGTGCTCCACGAGAACCGGTGGGGCAGTGTGTGTGATGACCACTGGGACATGAAGGACGCCAAGGTGGTGTGCAAGCAGGTGGGCTGTGGGTCACCGCTGTCGGCTCTGGGAGGTGCCCGCTATGGGCGAGGGCCAGACATCATCTGGCTGGACGATGTCGAATGCAACGGAACGGAAGAGAGCATCTCTGACTGTCAGGCCAGGCCTTGGGGTGAACACAACTGCTATCACGGAGAGGACGCTGATGTTGTCTGTGCAGGTAACTACCCATCACTGTGGCATCTGAAGTGACATGGGGACCAGGTCAAACACTTCTAGCAGAGCCAGCAGGCTGGGCTGCAGGGGACAGAAGGGGAGTCACAGGGCAGGAAGGCTCCCCCCAGCTCAGGAGAGTGCTGGTGGAGGCAGGGAAATAGATACAGCAGGGAATATAGATAGATACAGTAAGGAATATAGAGCGTCTGATTAGGACAGATGTGGTGGGACCAGCTGGTGCAAGAGAGGCATCAGCAGAGCAGGGGCAAACACTTGGTGATAGTCTATGACTATGGGATGGATCCTGCTGGGAAGTTGCTGACAAGGGGGTTTTGTATAGGGCAAGGCTCCTAAGGGGCAGAAAGAGGGAAGGTGCGGCATTTTCTGGGGCAGGAGGTAATGACAAGTATCTGTGGGGGCAGTGGTGTCTGGGGTGACATGCCTCTGTATTGGTACATCGTCCATACTCAGTAAATGTCTGAGTTGGACTCTCTGAAGCTCTTGGGAGCCAGGTTCCTGACTTCTCATGCCCTGTTTCATGGGAGAGAAGCTTGGACAGGCCCTGCATGGGTGAAGGGAGGAATCCCTGGGGTTCTTTGGCTGTTCTCAGTGAGGAGCAGGGCTGTAGGGGCTTGGGTTTCATCTGCGTGCTGCACAAGATTGTGCTGTCAGGACCGTGTGCTGCAGTCCTGTGGATCAAGCAGGACATTGTGCATCAGGGTCAGAGTCTGCACTTCATGCAGCCCTGTCCTGGCTCCCCTGGGGCCCTGTCCAAAGCTCAGGTGTTGGATTCCCCACAGCCCCAAAGATATGGGTATAACCCAACCTGCAGATCTTTGGGAGCAGAGTCCTTGTCACTTCTAGCAGGCAGTTCTGGTGTCAGAGTTCCTGGGAGCAGATTTTGCTTTACTTTGCTCTCTTTCTCTGCAGTTAACAAGAACCTAGAGGATCCAGAAGCGGCATGAGTGCCAGACTGGCTGGACCGTGCTCATCTTGCCGCAGGAAGATGGACCAGCAACATTCAGCTGAGAAGACGAAGGGCAGGGATGTTGCAGAACCATCAGTGTGCCATAATGGGATCCAGGGTTTGGCAAAACCATTCCCTCCTGTGCATTGAAGGATCTACAAACTTGCTTATAACTGCACTGATGGAAAACCCAGCTCAACACATTTTTCCCACTGAAAAGCAAACATCACAAAGTGTCAATAAAGTTCCTTTAAAACTGAACATCTGGCTGTCTCGTCAATTGCTCGTGGACCTCTGCTGCCGGAGCACATATGTGGCAGGGAGCTGTTGGTTCAACATGATATTTATGTAATGAATGAATATGATGAATATTTATACCAATGGTATTACAGCATACCACTTCTCAGGTCTGCAGAGAAACATTTGCCTCCACTAACATTCAGACCAGTAACAAGGGCAGCCATAAGAGCCTTGGAAAGGGTATTGGACATTGCACAACACAAGCTTATCTCTGGAGGTTTGTCCGTCCTTCCTTAGGGAGGGAACTGCCCCCCATAGGGAACGATTCACCCCTTTTCCTCCTTCACTTTTTCTACAGACCAAAGCTGGTACTTTATGAGTAGATAATTTCCCATTTTAGGGATGTCTAATCAAGAATTATCCTCCAACACAGAAATTTTTTGTGATTTCTTGCTTTCCAAAAAGCAATGTGCTTTGTGCCAGTCAACACAACACAAAAGCTTTAATCCCAACAAAGCATAGAGAGAGCAAAGGTCTTTAGCTCAATATTGACATTGGGTGTCTCTAGGTTAGTTGGCCAATTCAGCTAGTTTTATGGGAAGGACACATGACTGCGTCCTCTCCTCCACCTCCCCCCAGACCTGTTCACTCCATTCCGAAACAGGTCTAAAGCAGCTCATATCATCTTTTGGGAGGTGCCCTAGTTCAGTGTGGCTCTGGGGAGGGCAAAAATAAAGTGAAGCTGGTGGTGGTTTGACCACAACATAGAGCATCAGACAGACTCACAGGAACAGGAAGTTCAGGTGCACGTCTACATGTAAAAAAAAAAAAAAAGCAAGTGAGGAAAGGCACAGAAATTGTTTAAAGCTTGGAGGGAATGTCTCAGAGGGCCACGTGATTCAGTCTGTCTTACTCATGAGAGGGAAAGCTATGTGAGGACTTCACTGCCGTAACAGCAAGAGCCAGGTGTTTATAAACTGTATCCCTACCATCAGCACAAGACAAGTTTTATGGATTAGAGTCAATATCAGCAAGAGAGGATAAACTGGCATGGGAGCTGTATGACCTGTTGGGCAGGGAAGGCATGCTAATGTGAGATGTTGCAAGGATTCAAGTTGACTTCAAGTACCCAACAGTGTTCTCCAAATACTCCCTCCACCCCTGAGAGATGCCTGGAAACTTGCCTTGTGGCAAGAATTGTGGCCACTGGAACCATGTGCAGGCATCCACAGAGGTACCTAAATTAGACACAACATCACCCAAAGTTTCTACAGCCAGAGGAGTGAGACAAATCTGAGGTGATTCAGAGCGTAGCTGGGTTGTCTTGCCCCATGCAAGTGCCTCTCTCTCTTCATGAACTGAATAGGTTCCCAGAGTGAAGATGCCTCTGATTTGGGCATATCAGCTGGGTGCTTGCATTTGATGGATCTGAGTCTCAGTTGTTTGCTTCTGTCCTGCATGCTCTGTGGACTTCAGAAATCACTTTTGTTTGGGTTAAATGAATGCCGTACTCATGTTGGCTGGCAGTACCATCCCTCTTCTCCACTCTGGAATGTCTGTGAGGTTTAGATCCCACCTGGAAGGAAATGTATGCAGTCCAGATCTGTAAAAGCAGCTTGCTTTAGCCTGACAAAGCCACTGAAAGTTAGTAGTGTGCATATAATATTTAGTGATATTTTAAAAATGCAAATGGGAAAAATGTGCTGCCACATGGAAAGATGCGAATTGTCCCACAAAACATCAAGCTGCAATTCCACACCTCCAACATCACCCCATGTTACTTGTCTAAAACAAGAGGTTTAGACCAGGAAAAGGCAAAGAGCCCCAGCATCCAGCCTAGAAGCTCAGTATCAACTAATGCCTAGTAGGACAGGACATGGATGAAGGTTACCTGAGCATACAATACCCGCATCTTCTCCATGATTACAGTTATGGACTCCCCAAGGCCTCGCTGCACACTCAGAGAGGGCTGCTTCTCTACCGGAGCGTTTCACATCATCCAACCAGATACAGCCAAACCCTTGCCCGAAGTAAGCTGAACCTGGAGCGGACATGGCTGTCCCACAGCCCAGCTGCTGGCACACCACTGCAGCATCACTCAAGTCCCAGCTGTCGTTGCAGACCGTACCCCACTGCTGGCCATGAAGCACCTCAACTCTCCCAGCACAACAAGTGGGACCATTCACTAGCCGGAGAGGAGGTGCTTCTGGAGCACCTGCACAAAAAGCAACCAAAAAAGGATAAATGCACACGAATACACTGCAGCTGAAGCTCGCTGACAAGGGATGAGTGCCAAAGCAGGGTGTCCCATAGGTGAAGAACGACGGCTAAAGAGGATATTTTGGGTGTCCATTCAGGGTTACCCCAAAGTCTATGTGGCTCTGCACTGCCTGCAGACTGACAGAAATGTCCCAGTGTCGTGGTTTAGCCCCAGCCGGCAGCTAAGCCCCATGCAGCCGCTCGCTCACTCCCCCACGGCGGGGCAGGGGCGAG